CTTTACTTAGAAGCTTATTAATATTTATGTTATATTAATTTTTATTTTGTCATATATGATCGTCAAATATCACGTCCTCAAGTATCGATAGTAATTCACCAGTCACCCTGTATATATTTAGGTATATGAAATTTATTTATTCTTGTTCGTTGTTTTATCAAACAACAAATACTGAACGGAATTTGATCAAATTTTATAGTTATGTATAGTCTGTTAGACTTAAGCTGAGCTTTGCATTCGTGTGAGTGAAAGTAAAAGTAGAGTTAGACAAAAAACTTTTAGAATTCAATTTTATTATATTTTAAATAGATACACAATATACATGTAGAAAACTTGTGAATGGCCAGAAGGAAATATTATGAATATTATGGAAAAGAAATAAATAATTAAAATTTTGAAAAAACTATACAAATTCTTCTTTCGTGACATTGCGTTTTCAACATTTGACGCTGCTACCAGTACAAAGGGTGAAGTGAGGAAGGTGCGGGGCGCAGTAAAAGCAGAATAAACCAGTTCAAAACTAGAAAAGAACGTTACATTCAAAAATTTGACATCACACCTACACTATCCGTGTACACTCACACTAATACAAAGCTCAGCTTAAATCAAACAACAGCTAGATTTCATTTTGTTTTCAATTACGAAGCACACACGGACGGATACACAAACAAAAACTAGTGTAGATATATCAAAAAATCATATGTATGACGTGTTTTTAAATCAAATATCTAATACAAAAAATATGTTGACAATATATCTAGCTATTATTACGTACGGCTTTGCTTCAATAATTCTTTACAAGCTATGTTCATACTTATATATTTATCTTCTACTTCTACCTGGCAACTCCCCAACTTTAGCCAGGGTCTGCCTTACATGTTGTGAATAGTTTTGGCTAATTGTTTTTACGACCGGCCGCCTGCCTGACATCAACCCTCTTTGGGAATGCATTAATCAGTGATGTCTAAATACTCTTATAAAGTACATATGACACGGAAAAATCACATTAGTACTTGACAGGTTCGATCTCGCGCCCTCGTGTATGAGAAGCGGGCCCTTTTACCACTAGGCCACCACTGACGGACATACTTATATATTTATATATATAATTATATTTTACAAACAAACAGACATATTGTAATGTAATTTATATATATAACATTTTATACATTCGATCAATCAATAATGACAATGGAAGGACGTTATCTTAAACGTGAAAAATATGATAACCCATCAGATAAAGACTTCGTAGATATACATAATTATATGTTAAAAAAGAAAAACAAATTTTCAAGGAAGTCGTACAAATAATGTTAGGTAACATTTCATTTAAGTTTAATGAAAATCAATTAAATGTAACTAATGTTTAAATGAAAGTAATTATTTTGGGATATTAGTTTCATTTAAATGAATAAAACTAGTGAAAAACTTAGATCTTATTATAAAAACTAATATTTTATGAAGTACTAGCGTTTTTTTTATTATTTTAATGTACTCCCGACGTTTCGGTTGCTTTGCATCAACCATGATTGACAGACAAGATGAAAAGAGTACTTTTTTTATGAAGATCGTTTAACCTTACCTTCACTTTATTAGAATAAATATAATATTAAAGATTTTACTAAGTTTAAACTCAGTTGATATTCATAACACGAATTATCATAGGCACACTACACACGTAGCATTTCATTCAATAGCTTTTTTCAATAACAATATGTAGAAAAAAGTTCTCCTTAATATGATGCACAAATGAAATTCACAGCAGAGGTCGACAATTTAAATTTATTACTATACTTTTTTACGCGTCTACACTAAACAACTTTTTTTAAACATTTCTAACCACCTTTTTTTACATTTTTCTTCTTTTTTCAACCCTTCCTTCCGAAAATATTGCCAGGGGCTGTTTTGTAGGTCTTATAAGTTTTGATGAAAGTAATATTGTTTTAAATATAAATTATTAACATTAATTTTCCTAGGATTTTAGTATTTTATAAACATCCTAACTAATATTATAAATGCGAAAGTAACTCTGTCTGTCTATCTGTCTGTCTGTTACGCTTTCACGCCTAAACCACTGAACTGATTTTAATGAAATTTGTTACAAAGACGGAGTTGACTTTGAGACAGAACATAGGATAGTTTTTATCCCAGACTTTTGAAAGGTTCTCTTGGAAACGCGATATAACCGAACTCCACGTGAAGCTGCGGGCGAAAAGCTAGTAACTGTACAAATGTGAGATTTATGAAATCTTATTATGAACTTGTACGTATACTAATCTAAATATTATATAAAAATAGAAGAGAAAAATTACCTAACTGAATTGCCGCTAAATTATAAAATTATATAAAATCAATAATAAAGTTAATATAATTAATTACCTTTATCAAAGTCTGCTAAACATCAAGATAAGAGATAATAATCTCTCGTTTTTAATTAGTAGGTCGAGCTATTAAAGAAAAAAATACAATTTATCTACATATTGTAATTGATTATTTTTTGTAAGTAGCGTTAGTATTATATACTAGTTTTTGCATGCGACTTCGTACGTGTTGATTCAGATTTTTGTTTAGAAAGAAATGTGTATAGAAAATCGGATTTTAAATGAATTTTCATTATTTTTTTTTGATGTGAATGGTAGCAAACGTAACTTCTTTATTGCGGATGCGTTGCCAACCTTGTTTTTAGGACTAGGGAATAAGGGAATAAGGAAATGGTAGGATAGGGTGGGAAATGAAAATGAAAAATGATGCTTAGTTTAAGCTTACAAATCATTAATAATACTTACTTCTTTTATAATCCTGTTATCAGAATGTGCAGTCTTTATAATGAAATAACTAATAATAATAATCATGAAATTGATATTTTTAACACAAATCAAGCGAAGCGACCTTTGTAAAAATTGTAAAAAAATGCCTATTTTAAAAATTCAATATGTAAATTTAAAAAAATTGAAATTATTAACAATTATATCTCGTTTTACCTATTACTTGTTTTCGTTCTAAGCTCCTATCACCAAAGGTTGTCTGACAGACCGCTGTAAGCGATAAGACCGCCTTTGCACACCATGTATGTTCTTACTTATTATTTGTATTTTCCCTTTTTAAATAAATATATTTCTTTTGTCTTTTTTGTAAATTCAAACAAAAATTGTTTATTATACCATTTATTTATTTTCTTCTTGTAAATTTAATTCTTGTAACTTCATTGAATATCACTTTTAATATTTTATTTTTGCCTTTTTTTGTTCATGTAATTTAATTTTATTATGGTTTAATATACCTACTGTTGTTATTGTTTAGTACTAATACATAGTTATCTCCTGTATAATAATTGTCATTTCCGTCATGTTGTGTGCACCCTTAGGGTCATAATCTGTTCGATACTATTAATGTTTAAGAAATATTCTCTATGTGATTGTGACCTGTTGTGTTTGACTTAATAAATAAATAATAGTTTTCGTCATTAATGTTAAAATACTAAACGATCTTCATACGAAAATACTTTTTTATGAGAACGAGTAGACGGTCTACTTGATGGAAGATAGTTACCGTCGCCCATGGACATCTACATAAGAGATGTTGCTAATGCGTTGCCAATATTGTTGAAGAAGTAGAGGAAAGAGAGGGAAAGAGAAAGGGCAACCGTCTCTCTCACTCATCAGACGAAAAACCATTAAAGGCTACTTCACGCCGGTCTTCTGTGAGAGGGTGGTACTTCTTCGAACCAGCACATGTTCGAGCTGTAGTAACTTGACCACAGCTAGGCTCTACCTATAAATCTTATGAAAATAAAACCAATTGAACTTAGATAAAACAACTGTTAGGTAAGTAAGGTAATAATTTTATATTTACAAATAATATAGAGTGAAGATTAACCTACATTGAAGCCGAGTGATTATGATATCACGAGGCAACCAAAACGATAACGCTAGTACATTATGTAACGTACTATTGATAGTGATTCATAATAATATAATGATTTATAATGTAATAATTCATTAATTAGTTTATTCAATAATTAATTAATCGTCTGTTAATTATGTATTAATAAGAGAGTTTCATTATATTAATTAATGTATTAAATTCTCAAGTTTTCAAGACTCAAATAAAGTATTCAAAAAATACTAACATTTCAATGAATATTCATTTGTAGTAATATATTTATTGCACACTAGCTTTCCGCCCGCAGCTTCGCCCGCGTGGAGTTCGGTTATATCGCGTTTCCAAGAGAACCTTTAAAAAGTCTGGGATAAAAACTATCCTATGTTTTTTCTCAAGGTCAACTCCATCTTTGTAACAAATTTCATTAAAATCAGTTCAGTGGTTTAGGCGTGAAAGCGTAACAGACAGACAGATAGACAGACAGAATTACTTTCGCATTTATAATATTAGTAGGGATTCAATACTAATTATTACTAGTAATTTGGAACTTAGAAATATAAGTAAAGTATCCTACATTTTCATTAATATAAGTTGATACTTGTATTTATAAGAAACTGATAACTGTCGGTTTAGATTCACGCAAGAAACTCATGGTAATATTGTTGCTTGATAAAAAAATACGAAAGTAGAGTGATTATCGTCTTCAATATTATTAACTGTGGTAAAAATAACTTATTTTGCTTCTACTTTTTCTTCTTGGACTATTAAATTGGACGGAGAAAATAATATTGTAACTTACTTATGTGACATATTTCAAGAACATTATCAAGGCTATATGTTATTCTGATATTTAAAGAAACATTGTAAATTTTCTTTTTAATACATCGGATAGATTTACATGCCCAAATACGAATTTGGTTAATTTTAAATATAAATAAGAGTGTATATTGGCATTTTATTGAAAGTTGATACAATAATAAAGAATAAATATATATGTAATTAATTAATTATTAAAATAGGTTAATTTGAAACGCGATGATGGCAACAATAATCGACTGGCAACACTAACAATTGACAGTTACTTACAAAGTAACGAATAGCGACCAGTCGCGTTTGAGATGGCGCCGAGCGTGTTACGGACTAGCGGTTACATATTATTATTATTTATAACAAACACGCTCGCAGCGCTGCCATCATCCATACGCGTCGTGAATCGTGAATGTAGCTCTTCGGAGTGCGAATATGTTATAAAAGTTAGCGGTGTAAGTCATTGGTCGTTGACCGATGTGCCCGGTGTGAAAAACGGCTTGTGTACAAAATATAATCACGCATACCCGGCTGGTGTCCAAGTTGTAAAAGTACCGAATGCCGAGCTGTTCCTCTGTATTGAGAACGACCAAGGCTGGTTCTATGCCGACGTTATTTTGGATAGTGACGTCAGCGCGCGGTGAGTTGTTTACTTTTAATATTTCAGAGTTCAAATATCAGTTATATTCTTATTGGTATCCATTTAGTTGAACGCGTTAAGTTCTGATCAGATAATGTGTAATGAGGTTACAATATCACGTGGGTACTTTACACAGTGAGTCATAGTTCTAATGGGACGAATTCATTAAAATTTTAAGGTCGTATATCATTAAATACTTGGTCCGTTTGTATTATAAACTATTGCGTGATATAAAAAAAAACTTTCAAAGTACTTTAAAAATAGATTAACTGTGATCTATTATGAGTTAGTACGAAATGAAGCGGCGTATTAAATAAGTATATTCTTTAATACTATAAACTATAATAAAACGAAAGTTATTATCTCATACATAAAACTCGTCAGTTAACGCCGCCATTGGCGCCAATTTTTTCCGAACGATGGGCGTCATAATCGCGTCTGTATTTCTTCGAAATATTCAATGGTGTAATGGTGTTTAAATCGGAACGCAGTCATGGTGTCGAATACAATTGGTGACTCGGTTCAGAGAATCGCTTACGGTTTTGTCTATCAGGACTTGTATTGAAGGCATTATGTATACATAGGTGTAATATTATATTACGAAATTATAAATCCCTACTAATATAATAAATGCGAAAGTAACTCAGTCTGTCTGTCTGTTACGCTTTCACGCCTAAACCACTGAACTGATTTTAATAAAATTTGGTTCAGATATAGAGTTGACCTTGAGAAAGAACATATAATAGTTTTTATCCCAGAATTTTGAAAGGTTCTCTTAGAAACGCGTTATAACCGAACTCCATGCGGGCAAAGCTGCGGACGGAAAGCTAGTACTTCTATATGTATTAAAATAATTGTAAATTAAAAATGTATTGCTTATTTAAAATGAGTATACGCTACGTATTATTATCTTTTAGTGGTTATACGGACAAGTTTGAGCACTTAATCGAGTAATAGGTCAAAAATGCCTTACATCTTTTTGCCTTATTGCCTTAAGGCCTAATTTTCTTACTCTGCTGGGCCTAGTTCAGAAACATCGCTGGTGAATTGCTTTTCAAATCATAAAAACCGAATCGTAATAGGTAAATCCGTTTCAGAGCTACAATGCCGCAGACAGACACCTACGTCCAAAATATAAATCCATTTTTCCCGTCTTAAAAATAGAAAAGTAAGATTTTCTGTAATATGTACATTTAAAATGTCGTGGATTTTTTTGAATGTAGGATTGCTAGAGACAATTTTTATTAAACAGGGACGCTGCTTAAAAACTATTTAGACTTTTCAAGACCTTATGAAAACTGAACGGTTTTTAACCCTTATGTAGTGGGAACGAATATACGCATATCTCGTCTTAATGATCACGGTTGCTGTAAAGTAACCGAAACTTCGGGAGTATGTAGTTTATAATGAATAATAAAAACCGCGTAGTAAATCCGAAAATATTAGTTTCATTTAAATGAGTACTCGCGAAAATCTTAGATCTCATAAATATACCTTCATATATAGTATATGACTTATAAATACTAAAATTTGACTGAAAAATACGACTATAATCTATTTTACGAGTGAAATACTTCGTAAAATCGTGTTAAGTAATAATTTGGAACATACATTCAAACTATTATTTAAGCTGCTTAAAAGTATTTCTTAATAAGTTCTTGTATGTAAATAACTTCAACAATTCTTGAAGCAACATGTTAATAAGCAAAGCTTATATTTAAAAATATTATAAAACTAATTACTTAAAAATAAAGATAAAATTTGAGATAGTAAAAATTTTACGTCCATTTACTTATCTCAATGACTTAGGCGATAAATAAAATCACTAGCTTTGCCCGCGACTTCGTCTGCGATTTATGAGTTGTATTCAGAAAAATCCCTACTATAATATTATAAATGCGAAAGTAACTCTGTCTGTCTGTCTGTTACGCTTTCACGCCTGAACCACTGAACTGATTTTAATGAAATTTGGCACAGAAATAGAGTTGACATTGAGAAAGAACATAGGATAGTTTTTATCGCAGACTTTTGAAAGGTTCTCTTGGAAACGCGATATAACCGAACTCCACGCGGGCGAAGCTGCTTGCAGAAAGCTAGTTCAAAATATTTTCATGATATAAGGTGAGTCTTAAGGATTTCAAATAGTAATATGAAGAAACTATATAATTTATAATATATTTATCTATAGATAATATGATGCATTTAAGCTTATTCAGGCCATGACTTCATCCCCACCCAAACCATCTACATTTCTATAACTCGTTACAGTAATGCGACATGCGACAGATCAATTTTATTCGATGTAATAAAAATTAAATCATATCCCACACGTATGGTTTCATCATTGTCTAATAATACCTCATCCTTGACGCCGTCTGTGCGTACGTCTGGTTTTTTGCCAAATTTTTTTTATATAGAGCATAGTACGTAAGAATTGCGTTATTACTAGCTTTTACTTTCTATGAGTGAATTAATATTTATGATATATTTCCCTATGCTTAGTGATTTTCTAATATTACGGTATCGAAAAAATGAAAATAATTTCCATATAATACCTACTTATATTATAAATGTGAAAGTAATGCTGTCTGTTACGATTTCACGCCTAAACCACTGAACTGATTTTAATGAAATTTGGTACAGACAGAGTTGACCTTGAAAAAGAACATAGGATAGTTTTTATCCCAGACTTTTGAAAGGTTCTCTTGGAAACGCGATATAACCGAACTCCACGCGGGCGGAAAGCTAGTATATAGATACAATAAAGATAATGAATTGTCAAGTAGATAATTGTTTAATTAATATAGCCGTAATAAAAGATGTAGAAGAGTATGATAATCTTAAGCCGTGCAATATGATGAACACATATTGTAATGCAAACACTTCATATAGCCTTGATAAAACTTACCACTGGTTTCACACTGCATACGTAGCGTTAATAGTTTTTGATTAATAAATACGTAGTATTAACGTCGTGGTTGCCTATTGGTTAAAGGCGATGCATGAGGACGCGGGTTCGAAACCAAGTACCAATGTGATTGTTCCGAATCAACTTTTTTTTTAGTCTATCAGAGCTCACTGCTGAGCAAAGGCCTCTTCCTCTCATGGAGAAGGTTTGGTTGTGATTTTATTTAATTGTGAAACTATAAGTCCAGGTTTCCTCACGATGTTTTCCTTCATCAGTCAGTGGTGTCTAAAACTTTAGAAAGTACATATTACTTTGAAAAATCACATCGGTACTCGCCAGGAACGAACCCGTGCCCTCGGCAATGATAGACGGCCCTTTTAACCACTAGACCACCACAGATAAAGAGTATTTAGACACCACTAACTCATGAAGAAAAATGTCGTGATCAAACCTGGACTTATATCAAATAAGTTTGAAATCATCAACCCGTCTTGAGCAAGCGTGGTGATTAATGCTCAAACCTTCTACATGTGAGAAGAGGCTCAGCAGTGGGCTCTGATAGACTGATGATGATTACCGTATTACTGAATGTGAAAACGGGAAACGCGTCGTGTGTAGTGTTGAAGATATGTGCTAAGTATCCTTACCATGCGTTATGATACTTTTATTAAATCTGTCCTTCACTTACATACCTACGTTTTTACTATCAAATTCGTAGTATTATGAATGAAAAACTCGTCAATATATGTATTTAGTCACACGATGTGAACTTGTGGTATACAATATACATCCCTACTAATATTATAAATGCGAAAGTAACTCTGTCTGTCTGTTATGCTTTTACGCCTAAACCGCTGAACTGATTTTAATGAAATTTGCTACAGACATAGAGTTGACCTTGATAAAGAACATAGGATAGTTTTTATTCTAGACTTTTGAAATGTTCTCTTGGAAACGCGATATAACCGAACTCGACGCGGGCGAAGCTGCGAGCTAAACGCTAGTTTGTTATATAGGGTAGTCGTGAAAATAGTTCCTAAATTTAATGACTTCTGGAGAGTTACGTAAAAAATTTAAGAGATCTTCATTAAATGATCTTCTATATATATGTATAAAAATGGATTTCTGTTCCTTAGTCTCGCTAAAACTCGAGAACATCTGAACGGATTTATCTTATCTTAGTCTTGAAATGTTCGTGGAGGTTCAGGGAAGGTACGAAAGCTGAAAAAAATTGATTCATTACTGAGAAAACCATACAGCCCTATTCTATTTCCCATACAAACGTTTTTTTTGACATTCGGTTTGACAACTAACTAATATGTCAATCATTCTGTTCGATTAAAACAGGAAAAAATTAGTAAATACCAATAACTGGTTAGTTAAGACGGAATAGAGATTGCCCGGTCAGCTATACATATGTATATTACTAATGACGAAATTAACGCGGACGAAGTCGCGGGCAAAAACTAGTAATTAATAAATATTCATTTTGTTGCTATTATTACGAACAAATCCTGGTTTAATAACTAGTATCGTTCGATTCAATTTTATACACACGGCACTCCTTTACCGTTACAAAGTAAGCGGCACAAGGTTTCTTCATTTTAACGACTATTTATAACTTATGTGTGTTTGTTCAAATTATGTTTGAAACGTCTGGTATCATATTATGATGGTATATACTTGTTATTGACCGTGGCTTCGTCTGGACTTTGTTTTTGCGTTGGAAATGAAGTTGTTTAGTCAGCAATGTGAAGTGGTGGCCTAGTGGTTAAAGGGTCCGCCTCTAGTTGCCGAGGGCGTGGGTTCAAACCTGGCAAGTACCAATGTGATTTTTCGGAGTCATATGTAATTTCTAAGAGTATTTAGACATCACTGACATACGGTGAAGGAAAACATCGTGAGGAAACCTGGACTTATAGTTTCACAATTATAGGTTTGAAATCACCAACCCGTCTTTAGCGAGCGTGGTGATTAATGCTCAAACCTTCTCCATGTGAGAAAGAGGCCTTTGCTCAGCAGTGGGCTCTGCTAGACTGATGACGACAGTCAGCAAGCTTAATACAATAGTTATATATATTTGTATATATAA